AGCATTTATCTTCTTTTTTATATATGTAGACTGCCAACAGACACTATTTTGTCAGAATACAGCATGAATTGTCTAAAGAAGAAAAAAAAGTTTAAAGAGTTGACAAGTCTATGTAACGCTGTCACTGGTATTCTTATTAGCTTATTAATGTGTTTGATTAATTAAAAATTAAAAATGATGTTTTAAAAAAAAAAAAAAAAAAGTTTTTTAGCTCTGGAACATGACATGTATTCAAGTATGACATATATATTTTATTTTATGATTTTATTGAAACATGTTTTGTTGTTTTTATTAGAAGCTGCTTTAAAGTCAAATAAAAACTTAACCAAAATGGATGCTATCCAACTTATTGGGAGAGTAGTTAGGCATTCTTCTGACCGAATAAAGAAAACATCGACTAATATGGATTTCGATCAATGTTGGCTTAATTAACTGTTGTATTTTTTTTTCCATTTTTAAGCAATTTTCTTCTATTTATAATGCACTATCGATTATATTCTACAGTACCTATTTGTTTTTAATTTGAAAAATGTAACTTTTTTGTTTGAAAAATTATTCTTAATTTTTATAAAGTTATTAATTTATTTTAAATATATATAATTACACTTTATTTACATTGATTTCCTTTTACAACTTCCCTTGCCTAGATTAAGGCAAATCTAAGGTGTGTGTTGTAAATCATTGCATTTTTATATAACTTTTAAAAGAATGTCTTGGTAAAATTCAAACGTCTCTAGGACGTCTGAAAAAGACGTCCTTAAGTCATTCATATGAGACCAGCCAGAGACGTCTCTAGAACGTCTTTAAAAAACGTCTTTAGGACGTCCGGAATGGACGTCCTCAAGCCTTTCATTTGAGACCAACTAAGGATGTCTTACGGACGAGACTTAAGACGTCTAACGGACGTCCTTAGGACGTCAAAATGCCCGCTGGGATATATACACTGTTATTTTTTGTAAACGATTTGTACTTTTCATGATAAATTTTGTTAAAAGACTGGCTTCCTTTTTAAAAGTACCTCTTTCCTATTTAAACATTTTAGTCTTTCTTTACTTTATCAAATATGTTTAACTTAATTTTATTGTTTTTTTTTATAAAGGTATGTGTACAAAGTGTTACATAAGTTTAGTAACTTTTAATAAACTTTTAGTATTTTTTGTATAGAGAATATTTTCTCCATATTAATATTTTAATGTTTTGTATATTGACCTTTTATCTTTAGAATATTAAAAAAAAAAAAACTGATCCAGAAGTATCAATATTTTCAAGTTTCATCACTTGATGCAAATATATGATTGTTTATAGAGGTTTTCTTTTAATAGTTTTGTATTTACTTGATAATTGCATTCTTGCATTAAATGCGTTTCATAGTAATGAAAGGTATTTTTTTGACGAAGGATTACATTTAATGCTACAAGTCTTTGCTGAACAGTAAAAGTAATTAATAATGGTTACAAATTTTTAACCTTTATTAATTACTTTTTATCGTTTATATATATATATATATATATATATATATATATATATATATATATATATATATATATATATATATATATATATATATATATATATATATATATATATATATATATATATATATATATATATATATATATATATATATATATATATATATATATATAGACGGAAAAAAAAAACTTAATAAAAAAACAAGCAAAGTATACTTGTAACCCATACTCATGAAATATTACCGTCATATAAAAATATCTATTCAATATTTATCTAACTTACTGCATCCCAAGTTAAACCATGTGATATTGTAAAATTTTCAAATTTAACAATATCACATTAACTTTTTTAAAAAGTCAGAAAGCCTTATATTTAACTAGTTAAATCACGCATGGGTATTTGAGTTCTCAAAATGCAATAAGAACGGTCGAACTCATAATATAGACGTTGAGTTAACGTGGAATCGACGTCGATATTAATTGTTAGTTGTTAAACCAAATTTCAACATTGATACAATGTTGATTTTTGGTTATACGACGTCGCGACTAAAAATCAACTGTAAATCAACGTCAAAATAACGTCGTGTGCCCACTTGGTCGATGAACTTTCTGTGAAAATGAAAAAAAAAAGTTTTATTTTGTTTCAAAAATTCGTTTTCATTGCTTTTCATTAAATTATAATTAATATTTTAGTTTACAACTTAAAAATTGTGTTGGTTTTTTCTTACTGAAGCACCTATATAATTAGAAATTTTAATTGAAATGAAATTTCTAATCTTTTCAAAACTTCTACTTTGGATTAGTTTAGCATAGTTGCTTTGAAAACTGTGGAGGAAAAACATGCCATGAATATGTGAATATTATGAACAATTTGGCTCTGATTGTCTTATTTTTAAATTTAATCATTTATTTAAAAGACAAGCATATATAAATGATAAATGTGTATAATTGTATTACAATGTGTATATATTATCACAATTGTTGCTGAGAGAATCATGATTGCTACATTGCAACCTGAGTATATTTTAAAAATAACTAAAAATATTGTCAAATTTCAAAAACATTATTTAGGCTCCATGAATCTTCACTGTTTTTCCTGTGTAGGGTTGCCATACGGTAATCTCTAAAAAAGAGGAGATTTTACACAATAGCGGGTTTGAGGGAGGGGGGTGGTGGTGCTATTATACGTAATTATACGTATATGAATTTGATTAATACACCAAATTGCAAAAAATTAAAAAAAAGTTACTTAAAAATGAAAATATGCAGACTTTTTTTTTGCTGACCTTTTTAGCCTCTTTTTGGCGAGTGACATAACCCACCCCTGATTTTACAATAAGTGTTAAACGAACAAGAATTCTTATTATTCAGCGAGGCATTACCAGAGTGACCTCTTTTATGAGAATTAAATAAATAATAACCTCTTTTTTAAATGTCATTTTGTTTTTTTAATACAAATTGCTGATTTTGCAATTAAAATTGAACTAATTTTAATTGCAAATTGCTCACAATTTTATTGATGTCTTAAAATTATTGATTCTTGATGAGTTAAGTATTATTAGTTATTCTATATTAAAATATACTATAATGCAAGCCAATAGTTATTCCTCCATTATATAACTCTATTGTCTATTGTCATCTTGTAACCATTGTTCACTTGTATCTAACTAATCACTTGAATCAGTTATCAATTTCACAGTTATTGACCAATCATTTGTTGGAACAGAGCAAGAACTAAGGACGGGGAAAGGTGAATTATACCAACTATACTTTTTTGTTGAACTTATCTTTTTTAATAAGTCTTTGTTTGATAACAAAACTAATTGAACTTATAAGTTTGAAAATTGGTCATGGCTCAATATTTTATTAACATTAAAAAGGGGCTTTTTTGTTTACAATTAATTTTTGAACTTGATCCCAAATAGGGATATTGTAAAATTTCATCCAACTTAAAGCTTTTAACTCTTGTTACTGAGACTAATAACAGGTCAAAGGTTACATAACTTACATATTTTTGGCTTAACTATGATTGTAAGATGAATTAGATAAATAAAATTAACATAAGGTGGTTTGTTAATCTTTGGGAGAAACATAAATAAATAATCCAGCTCGGCAAATTTTGAATTTGGTTTCACACTTATTTTTTACATTTTTAGTTCTATACATTTAAATACTAAAATTTAAGTATTAAATATCGAATTTTTATAAAAATTACATAAAAACCTCTAAAAAGAGTAGATTTCATGTTCTTTTCTGAAGTTCCCCGGAGCCTTGTTTTTTGCCTTAAAATCCGGAGATCTCCGGGCAAGTCCAGAAATATGGCAACCCTATCCCTGTTTTTGATAATTTTATTTATATTTGATGTGCAAATTCCTTGTTTTACTTTTTAGGGTTATGTCAAACGGCGTCATGAGTGAGTACAATTTAAACAGAAAAATGGATAAGCTGTCTTTTTGATAGCCAAATACAATGAAGTTAATCCTCGGTATGTTTTTTTTAATTATTACAATATTAGATATACAAATTATGGTAAAATTTCCTAAAACTTTTATAGTTAAATTCTAATATACGGTTTTAGAACATTGTTAAAATTTTAGTCAGCAGGCATAGGTAAATTTGCTTTAAATTAGCCGTTTTGCAATTTACAATAACTTTCTTCTTATTTTAGAAAAAATAAGATTAGCCACAATCAGAAAAATTAGAATTAAAGATAAAAAATTTTTAAAAAATATACTAAATGGTTGTAGGAATCACTCATACAGCTAATAGCTCTATATATGGCAAATTAGTTTATCTACATAAATATTTAAATCAAAATCTAGGTGAGTATCAGTTAAAATTCTAAACAAACAATGGCCACTAAAATTACGACAAGAGTTACTTAATTTCAAATAACATTTTTGATATTTTTATAGCAACTGTTGCAAAGTCGAAAAGGTATACAGAAAAAATATTGAACTTAGTATTGGCGTAACTTTAAAACACGCTCCATTGCAAAAAGGTGGTTTAAAAAATCCAAGCTATGACAACGATTATAATATCAAGAAATAAAATTTATAAATATGTTCTTAAAATATCGCAAATCGTTTAATATTATTCAAGTTAATCTTTAATATTGTTGAATCTTTTATTAGTGTTTAAAAAGTATTTTATCTTAATTCTTGATTTTTAGTTTCCAGAAAGTGAATCTTTATAAAAATGTTTTTAGCTGTAATACTAGTACAAAACAGGTTTATTTTTAAAAACCTTATATATAACAAGGGTTAAACCTGAGAAAAAAAAGCTGGTTTTTTATTGCTAAATTATTTTTAAACTAAACTAAATTGTTAAACATACTAGTTTGTTTACTCCTCTTTAATTTTTCTAATAAACAATACTTTATTTAAGTTATTTGCTTGAGTTTATTGTGTATTACTTTATTTTAAATTTAATTGGTATTTTTAGTGCTTTAAACCTTTTATTAAATTGGGTCTGTTTATACACATGAAAATACAAAGGCATCATTAAAAATATTTTAAATGATGCATTTAATTAGATTTTTTAAACCACCTTTTTGCAATGGAGCGTGTTTTAAAGTTACGCCAATATGATCCTAATGATTAGGATCATATATGTTTACCTGACAATACGTGGCTAGAAAACTTTCTTCATACCTTAAATTTTCAACATGATGCAAAATTTGCCCATAAACCCTAAAACAGAAAAGGCAATTATATGTGGGAAGAGGCATTTTATCTGTGAAAGAAGCAAAAGATAAAAAGGAATTATAAGACCTATACTGCTTTCTTTTATTTATATGACAGTTTCTTTCAGCTCAACTAGGCTCATCTCTTTAGTTGCATTGAAAAGTTACCTTAGCTAGACTAAGCTCATTTCTTTCATTTTGGCGACGATTAATTTCATTTTGCCTAGCCTGAATTCTTTAATTTCAATGATGCCTATTAATTCTACTTTTTTAAATATCAGACATGACAAAGCATCAAAGGAGTGTGTAAAAAGGATGCTTAATGTAATAAAAGTTGCACTTTTATTTAAAGATTGAACTTTTACTTTCTTTCTTAAC